GAAGTTGTTCCTGAAACCCAGACAGGGTTGGAGCCGCTCTGTGGAGCAGGATCAGGACGTCACCTGTGCTCGCTCAGGGCGCTGGCACAGGGACAGCCTTTGGGAGCTTCTGCCACACTCCCAAAAATCATCAGGGAATTAGCGTGGGGCCGGAGCCGTGCCGGCTCCTCTGAGCTGCCCAGCAGCAGCGACGGCCGCGATGACACCCCGGAGATCCTGGAGATCCCAGAGATCCCGGAGATCCCGGAGATCCCGCTCCGTGCCAAGGCACAAGCCCTGGCACCGCCACTGAGGGTGGGGCGGGTCACAATTTCGGGAGGGTCACGGTTTTGGGAGGATAACCATTTTGGGAGAGTAACCATTCTGGGAGGGCAATGATTTTGGGAGGGCAATGATTTTGGGAGGGCAATGATTTTGGGAGGGCAATGATTTTGGGAGGGCAATGATTTTGGGAGGGCAATGATTTTGGGACGGTAACGATTTTGGGAGGGTAACGATTTTTGGAGGATAGCCATTCTGGGAGGGTTGGTGTGGGTAACGATTTTGGGAGGGTCGGGGCTGTGGCAGACACGTCCGTGCCGGACTCGGCTCTGTGTCCCAGGCGAGGCGAGCCCGGCTCTTCCAGCGCTGCAGGAAAACTCAAAAAAAACCAGGAAAAAAACGGCGTGAAGTGAAACTCCGTGGTAAATAAGCTCCGCAGAGCCGAGGTGGGCATCTGTGGCAGGAGGATGTGCTCGATTCCTGCCAGCCCGCGCCGTTCCAAGCGGGAATACAAACAGCCTTCAGCCGCAGCAGCAGCTTATTAGCGCTGATATATCAGCGGCCGCGCGCTCGTTTGTCTCCTGTCAGCAGCAGCTGCTTATCCAGCAGATTTCCCGCTGTATTCCCGGGGAAATGGCCTGAAATTGATGTTCACAAGCCACGGCTGACTTTATAAGGAGCTGCTGTAACTCGTGGAGCGCAGGGGTGAGGCAGGAAAGGATTAAGTTGGGTTTTATTTATAAGGAGTGAAGCCCATAAATTCTGGGAGGGTTTTAAATCTCGGTGCCCAGGGCAGGAGCTGCTGCTCATCCCTGGTGGTGCCTTCTGTTCTCTGAGCAGACATTTAACACCGTGATTGAAACTCCTGTGGCATCTCCGAGTTCTCTGATAATAAATATAAGGGGGAAAAGGGATTCAGGCTTAAAAAGCAGGAAAAAAAAAATATTCCATATACTTTTGCTTTTCTTCAGGTAATACTGGATCTAAGCTGTGAGGCATCCGTGTGTTGTGTGAGAGGAAAAACTGAGTATTTTTTAAAGAAAAGATTTTTAGGTGTTCAAACCTGAAGAGTAATGGAAATAAAAGGTCGTGTTCTTGGCCGGCCTGAGAAGATTCAGGTTCACAGTGAGGACAGTGGGCATTTGCACCTGAAACAGTTTTAGGCCTGGCCTAATCCTGTGTGGAAAGGGCAGGAGGGAAGGCTGAGCCAGAAGCTGCTTCTGGGCTTGTTTGGATCTCCTTTGCCATCTCTGCAACAAGTCCTGGGGCACCATTCCCATAAGGAACATCCTGAAGTGCCCCTTCCACCTGGGGAAGCCTCTCAAAGTTGTGGTGCTGCCAAGCCCTGATGATGAAAGTGATTTTCCCATCCCATTTTCCCCTTTTTAGACTTAATTATTTGACATTTCATCTCAATTGTTTGCTCATTTTTGCCCGCTCGTTGTGTGACTTCTCATTCACTCTCTCCTGACCAGAAACTGGTGCCAGGGCAGGTGTGGGTCACCCTTGGATACCTCCACAGGTTGATCTGATCCCTCCTTGGGGTGTTACGGGGTTGTTCCTCTGAAAATTTGGTCAGTAGGGACAGAAAAACCTTCCTGGGGTTTTTCCTTTGTGTGGTGTGGAAAAGAGGGGATGCAGTGGGACCTGGGCAGGCTGGAGAGGTGAGCAGGGGGAAGTTCATCCTGAGGGGTGTTCCCTGGAGAAGGAAAGGCTCCAGGGAATGCTCAGAGTCCCTGGAGGGGCTCCAGGAGAGCTGCAGAGGGACTGGGGACAAGGCCTGCAGGGACAGCACACAGGGAATGGCTCCCACTGGCAAAGGGCAGATTGGGCTGGGATCTTGGCAAGGAATTCCTGGCTGGGAGGGTGGGCAGGGGCTGGGCTGGAATTCCCAGAGCAGCTGTGGCTGCCCTGGATCCCTGGCAGTGCCCAAGGCCAGGCTGGACATTGGGGCTGGGATCCACCTGGGACAGTGGGAGGTGTCCCTGCCCATGGATTGGGTGGAATGGGATGGGATTTAAGATCCAACCCAAACCATTCCACGGTTCTCCTGGGGATGGGACCTCCAAGGCTTCTCCAAGGGTTACAACCCTCTGTAAATTCCTGCTGATGTGGAGTGTGAGCTACTCCAGGGATTTTCTGCTGCTCTTCCAGGAAGGGTCAGGAGCCCTGTCCCCTGTCCTCTGCAGGGTCCCAGGGCTTGGCTGCAGAGCTTTGATTTCCCATCCTCTGCTTCCATCTGGGACATCTCAATGACACATGGAGGGCTTGAGGACACTTGGAATGTCCAGCTGGAGCAGAGGAGGCTCAGGGGAGACTCATTGGGATTTGCTCCTCCTGAGGAGCAGCTGTGACAGGGACAGGACCCAGGGAATGCCTGGAGCTGGTCCAGGGCAGGCTCAGGCTGGATTTCAGGGCAAGATTCCTCATCCAGAAGGTGCTGGCACTGCCCAGGCTCCCCAGGGAATGGGCACAGCCCCGAGGCTGCCAGAGCTCCAGGAGACACCTCTTGCATGGACAGGGTGGGATTGCTGGGGGGTCTGTGCAGGGCCAGGGCTTGGATTCACGATCCTGTGGGTCCCTCCCAGCTCAGGATATTCCCTGATTCTGTCAAAACTCCTCAGCCACAGCAAAAACTCGAGTGTCTGTTGGAAGTAATGAAGAAAAATCGCAGCCGGGCAGCGCCGTACTTCCCGCAGCTTTCAGAGATGAGGAATTGGCACGAGCAGGGTTTTAAATAACCCAGCGTGTCAGAAAAGCACAAACAAATGATGAAAAGCAAAGAAAAAACCCCGGAGCTCTGCTAAACTTTATGGTTGCCATGCTTCATCTTCATTTTGGTGCAGGTGTTTGTTGGGAGGTGAGTGATGGACGCTCCGGAGCCTGGGAGCGGCGGCGAGCTGCAGATGGAGCACCCTGCCCTGCAACGCACGGCTCGGCTCCTTTTTTAAATAAAAAACCCATTTTTCCCTCCTGCTGAAGATGGATGTGGCCTGAAGATCCAAACCAAGTTTGCAGAGCTGGGAAAAAAAACCCTTCCCAGCACAGGCATCAAACGTCGCCGTGCCGCGACAACGAAACCGGCGATGCCGAGCTGGAAACGCCGCGTAAACCCCGCGTTTAATCCCAGTTTAAACACAGCTTGTAGAGCGCGTCTGAGAGTCGGTGAGAGCTCCTAAGCCACGCCTTGGTGTCAGGAAAGCGTGTTAAGAGTCTTTTGTGAGTGTTTGAGAAGATAATCTCCTGCCGGAGCTGTTTTCGGGGCAGCGCCATGATCCAAACCTCCCTCGTGGCGTTGCACACGCAGGCATTGGGATCGCTCCCTGCGGTGTCAGCCTGAGGGTTTGGGCAAAACCCTGCTCTTGTCCCAAAGGATTTCCCCATTTTTATGGGTTTAATTCCTCTTGCAGACCCACCTGCCGTAGAGAGGGTCAGGTTGTGCGTGGGAATGTCCAAGGTCAGGTTGGACAGGGCTTGGAGCAGCCTGGGACAGTGGGAGGTGTCCCTGGCCATGGAATGAGATGGGCTTTCGGGTCACTTCCCACCCAAACATTCCATGATTCCCTGGTAATCAATGGGATGTTGTCTCGCCTGCGTTAGGGCATGATGAGAGCACTTTGAGCTCTGAGCACTCCAAAACTCTCCTGGGTTGGAGCTTCTCCAGCTGCACCCAACAAGGCCTAACCCTTCCCTCAGCCATGGGCACTTCCAGAGGGGATTCCCTTGGGAGATGGTGGTTGTGACCTTGAGCGCCGTGGGAAGATCCCATCACAGATGGGACACGCTGAGGAGGCTGGGCTGGGCTGGAGAAGTTCTCTCATGGATTTAACGGAGGAATTTGGGCTGGTCTAGGGAAGTTTTGTGCTGGTAGATTTAACTGAGGGGTTTTGGCTGGGCTGGAGAAGTTCTGTGGTGCTTTAACTCAGGAGGTTGGGCTGCTGTGGAGAAGTTCTCTGATAGCTTTTACTGAGGAGGTTTGACTGAGCTGGAGAAGTTCTCTGGTGGATTTAACTGAGGAGTTTTGGCTGGGCTGGAGAAGTTCTCTGGTGGATTTAGCTGAGGAGGTTTGGTTCTGGAGAAGTTCTGTGCTGATGGCTTTAACTGAGGAGGCTGAACTCCTCTGGAGAAGTTCTGTGGTGCTTTAACTGAGGAGATTTGGCTGCTCTGGAGAAGTTCTCTGGTGGCTTTACTGGGGAGGTTTTGGCTGGGCTGGAGAAGTTCTCTGGTGGCTTTAACTGAGGAGATCTGGCTGCTCAGTTCCATGGTGGCTTTACCAAGGGGGCTGAGCTGCTCTGCAGAAGTTCTGCGGTGGCTTTAACTGAGGAGGTTTGCCTGGGCTGGAGAAGTTCTCTGGTGGCTTTAACTGAGGAGATCTGGCTGCTCAGTTCCATGGTGGCTTTACCAAGGGGGCTGAGCTGCTCTGCAGAAGTTCTGTGGTGGCTTTAACTGAGGAGGTTTTCCTGGGCTGGAGAAGTTCTCTGATGGCTTTGCCAAGGGGGTTGCTCTGGAGAAGTTCTCTGGTGGCTTTACCAAGGGGGCTGAGCTGCTCTGCAGAAGTTCTGCGGTGGCTTTAACTGAGGAGGTTTGCCTGGGCTGGAGAAGTTCTCTGGTGGCTTTACTGAGGAATTTTGGCCTCTCTGGAGAGTTCTGTAGTGGCTTTACTGAGGGGCCTGCTCTGCAGAAGTTCTGCGGTGGCTCTTTGTGCCGGTGTCCCTGACGAGTGTCCGTTTGTCCTGCAGGGGAAGGTGGCCCAGACCGCCTGCATGTCGGCCTGCAAGCACCTCTCGACGTCGCTGCTGCAGCTGCTGCTGGAGGCCGAGGTGAGGCAGCTGACGCTGGGGGCCCTGCACCAGTTCAACCTGGACGTGGAGGAGTGCGAACGTAAGAGCCCCGTCCTTGTCCTCGGCTTGGGTCCAGGGGGAATTCCTGCTCTGCCTCAGGCTCAGGGTTTTGGTGAACACTTAAATCGAGGTGGCCCACACCTAAAGTAGGACTTTGGCCCATGGGTTATAAGGGTGGTGGATCAGCTCTGTTTATAAAATGAGTTATTTATTGGCCAGACAGGAGAAAACGAAGAAAAGGTTTTAATTAAAGTTGCTACAGGGTATAAACCAAAAAAGAGTTATTAGTGCACTACATGAGATTATGTGTGACATTAAGGTATTTATATTAAAATGACATTTCTATATCTATATTTATTTCTATATCTATATCTATATATTTATATCTATATCTATATCTATATATCTATATCTATATCTATCTGTATCTATATCTATATCTATATCATCTATCTATATCTATATCTATATCTATATCTATATCTATATCTATAATATATATTTCTATTTCTATTGCTATTTCTATTTCTATTTATATTTATATTTATATTTATATTTATTTAAACTGGCAAAAGAAATGGGATAGGTTAGGAATCAAAAGGAATAGGGTAGATTAGGAATCAAATGGAATAGGGTAGATCAGGAATCAAATGGAATAGGGCCTATTAGGAATCAAATGGAGCCTCCCACCAAAATGACCATGGTGTACACAGAATCCTTTCCCTCAACCTGCAGAGGAGTAACCCCAAATCAGCGTCCCAAATTTGGGGTAAAATCCTACAGTGCTGCTGTGCCTGTTGGTATTTGGGGTCCCCGGTCAGGGGTGTGGCAATGCCGGGTGTGGGGGTGGTGGGTGCCCACAGAGCTCACCCAGGCCATCTTCAGCACAGAGGATTCCAAGAGATCCAAGTTTTACTCCTCCTTTTCCTCTTCAGTGCTGCCTTGATGCTCTCCAGGCCGTCCCTGCTTTTTGGGATGGAGTTACTTAAAACCAGGAGGGATTGGAGTGCATGAATCCAAAATCAGTTTGTTTATGACTTCCTGAGAAGCTGGGGCTGCCCCATCCCTGGGAGTGTCCAAGGCAGGGTTGGATGGGGCTTGGAGCATCTGAAGACCTTGATGTTCTTCACCAGTTCTGGTCCTCTCCCGGCCTCAGCCCTTTGTCCTCCCTGCAGGGAATTTTGTCCTTGAGGTGACCTCCGTGCCAGGCCACAGTGATGGAGGTGAGGTGTCTTGTGACAAAGTGACAGCAGCTCCTCAGGGGAGCAGCATCGTGGTGCCACCCCCAGGGCTCTGCTCCCAAACCTGCTCCTTTCGGGTCTTCAGGCTCCCACCTGGACTGGGGCTGGAATTCTCTGGTTGCCCTCAAGTTGCTGCGTGTCCTGCTCAGTGAAAGGGTTAAAAACCAGAGCCCAAAGCAGACAAAATGCTGTTTTTAATCCTGGTTTGGGAATTAAAGTGGGGCAGAGCAAACACACCCCTGCACAGGATCCTCTTCCCTCTGAGGGGGATGGATTTGTTGGGATTCATCCTGGATTTGATTTGTTGGGATTCATCCTGAGATGGGTGTCTTGGGATTCATGCTGGGATGGGTTTGTTGGGATTCATCCCATGATGAGTTTGTTTCGATTCATCCCGGGATGGATTTGTTGGGATTCATCCCGGGATGGGTTTGTTGGGATTCATCCCGGGATGGGTTTGTTGGGATTCATCCCGGGATGGGTTTGTTGGGATTCATCCCGGGATGGGTTCGTTGGGATTCATCCTGGGATGGGTTTGTTGGGATTCATCCCGGGATGGGTTTGTTGGGATTCATCCTGGGATGGATTTGTTGGGATTCATCCTGGGAGGGATTCTCAACCGTGGTGGTTGAGAACCCGGAGCTTGACAGAGTTCCTAAAGAACCAAGTGATCTTTGATTTTAGGGTATTTTAGGGATTTTTTTTCCCCCAAATATCCACAATTTGGCTTTCCTGGCTGAGGTGGAGATTGGGATGTCTTGTGTTTATCACAGAATCCCGGAATGCTTAGGGTGGAAAGGGACTTCAAAGCCCATCCAGGGACACTTCCCACTATCCCAGGGTGCTTCCCGGGATGGGTTTGTTGGGATTCATCCTGGAATTGATTTGTTGGGATTCATCCCGGCGTGGATTTGTTTGGATTTGTGTTGGGATGAGTTTGTTGGGATTCATCCTGGGATGGGTTTGTTGGGATTCATCCCATGATGAGTTTGTTTCGATTCATCCCGGGATGGATTTGTTGGGATTCATCCCGGGATGGGTTTGTTGGGATTCATCCTGGGATGGATTTGTTGGGATTCATCCTGGGAGGGATTCTCAACCGTGGTGGTTGAGAACCCGGAGCTTGACAGAGTTCCTAAAGAACCAAGTGATCTTTGATTTTAGGGTATTTTAGGGATTTTTTTTCCCCCAAATATCCACAATTTGGCTTTCCTGGCTGAGGTGGAGATTGGGATGTCTTGTGTTTATCACAGAATTCCGGAATGCTTAGGGTGGAAAGGGACTTCAGAGCCCATCCAGGGACACTTCCCACTATCCCAGGGTGCTCCAAGCCCTTTCCAGGCTGGTCTTGGACACTTCCAAGGATTCAGGGGAGTGACTCAGTGACATCAGCTGTTGGTTTCATCATCCCCTGGCACTTCCCATTACCAAGACAAGTTCTTCCATCCTTTATCCAACCTTTTCCTGACCAGATTTTACTTCAGCTGCCTCCATCAACGCTGAGATTAAATTTACTGCTGGGAACAATCTCCCAGCAGGAATTTTGCTGTTTCCAACACGGGTTTTTCCATCTTTTAGCATCCACTTGCCACTTTCCAGCCCTCAGCTGACGAGCCTGGGAGAGGGATCCCAATTTCATGATTCCCACCCAGATCCTGCAGCTGCACCACAACTCACAAAGCAATGCCTGATTTTCCTCCCGGCGCTGCCTCCATCCCTGAATCCCTGACTCTCTTTTGTGTCCCCTCAGCGCCTCGGGAGCAGCTGTGCTCCCATGGGTGTCTGCTGAGGGACGGGCACCAGAGCTGGGAATAATGGGAAGCGTTTGTCATCCCTAATAATTCCCTGTTTTTTTGGCTGCCAAATCTCCAAACCCAGCAGTTTTCTGCCCCATCCATAACGTGGATCACGCGGCAGCAGCTCTTCCCTGAAAGCTGCTGCTGCCAAGGGAGACAGATGGGATTTCACAGCAGGTTGGAAAGCACAATTCCTTAAATTCCTGTTGTTTGGGGAGCCCGAGCCGGGAGCACTCAGACATCCCGGAGCAGGTGACGCCAACCTGGCAGCAGGGTCAGGGACCTGTCCCCAGCCCCGTCCCAAGGTGCCACCAGAGCAGGGAATGGAGATGGATGCTGGAGCTGGATCCTCCCCATCCATCACTGTCAGCCCGGAACAGACAAAATCCTTCTCCTTTCCAGCAGCAAATCCATGCCCCTCATCCCCACGGGTCCGTCTGGTGGCTCTGCTGCGCCTGGAAATCACTTTAATTTGGTTATTTTGGAGCAGAAATCCATCAAGGTTTGAATTTTGGGATGAGTCAGTTCCAAGAGGGAAGCGGTGTATTCAGAAAATAAGTTTCATTTTGCAAGGTTAGGGTTTATTATTGGTTTTTTTTTGGTGATTTTTTAAATCTTTTTTGTGCCTGAAAGCACAGGTGTGAATCTCAACATCCTCACAGTACCAGTTTGTACCTCTGCCTCCATCCTCTTCCTTCCCCCAGATTCCCAAACCTTGCCCAATCCAGCAGTTTTTATACATTAAAATAGGATTTTATGTCTGTTTGGAGCACTTCCAGTGAGTGCCATGATGAGGGAATGGGGCTGCGGAGTTTTGATGCTGGAGTTTATTCAGGTTATGTTTGTGAATGCTGAAAAAATAATCTGGTTAAAAGAGAGGTGAGGTGAATTAAGGAAATTATTTTATTGTATATTAGGCATAGTTTGAAGAGGGTGAAGGCTGGCAGGGACAGGACACAGGGAATGGTTTCCAATGGGAAAGGGGAGATTGGGCTGGGATCTTGGCAAGGAATTCCTGGCTGGGAGGGTGGGCAGGGGCTGGGCTGGAATTCCCAGAGCAGCTGTGGCTGCCCTGGATCCCTGGCAGTGTCCCAGGCCAGGCTGGATCCACCTGGGACAGTGGGAGGTGTCCCTGCCCATGGATGGGGTGGGAATGGGATGCTCTTTAAGGTCCCTTCCAACCCAAGGCAGTTTGGGATTCTGGGATTTTGGGATTTTGTGGTGCTTGGCAGAAGGATAAGGTTGTGATGGGGCCCCTCACCTGCTCTTTAAATCTCCCCCTTCCTGAAAGCTCTGCTTTTTTGGTGTGTTCAAAGCACAGAAAATTGCAGTTTATTCATTTTTATTAATTTTCTGATCTCCCAAAAGGAAGCTGTTGTAGGACTGAGGAGAAACAGTGAATTAAACAGACACCAAGAGCCAGATCTTCCATGTTTTCCTCATGGGGATATCCCATAATCAGCAGCATTTTTGGTGTGAAAGAGGAGAAAAGAGCAGAGCAGCCACGTTGTAAAAAATCCTCTTGGGTTGCTTGTGATGGGAGGAACCTGGGGAAAATCCGAGCTGTTTTCCATGGCTCCATCCTGGTGAGACCATGGAATGTCCAGCTGGACCAGTCCTGGTGGAGATGCAGGGTCCTGAAGGATCAGGGAGAACATCCTCTGGTGTTCCCAGCAGGAAGGTGTTTCCCAAGGTGTTTGGAAGCAGCTTTCCGTGGATCTGAGTGCTTGGATGGCTCCAGGGAAGGGCTGGAGGTGGATTTGGGATGTGTTGTTGGGCAGGTGTTGGGGTGGTGAGGTTCTCTCACCCCCTTTTAAACCTGGACTAAAGCACAGCTTAAATGAACTGCCTAGAGAGACTCAGTGGGACACATCTCCTTGTGTTTCAGTTTAGGGGCCACTTCTGGGTTAAAAAGAAGCAAAAAACTCTGGAGAGAGGAAAAAAAATCCCAAATATTATTGACAACCTGTAAATTTCCTTTTTTCAGAAAAGACATTTCACTT